AAATTTAGTAAATGTCTACTAAAATAGTTTTATTAGATTACCATTGTTGTTTTTGCCTGTGTTCTTGAGGAGGTAAGATATTTGTGTTACTCTATGCATATTGCCTGCTTGTGTGACATCTTCAAGGGGGTCTTCAATAGGATATTCAATAGGAATAGGGGTCATCATAGGATGACACAAACTTCTTACTGTCTCAAAAACACAGGCAACGGCGACAAAGATAATTTAATTTCCTGAAACTGGGTTAGCGAAAAAAGATATAAAACTTTTCACTCCTATAACATCTAGTTTATCTACAGGTCTTAGAGTTTAAAATACCAAGACATTTTAACTCAAAATAATTTGCAACATGGTCCTATACTGTTAGTTTTTTGCAAATTTTCGTTGTTAGAGCATCGTTTTATTTTGCAAGTACAACGAATGTTTATTATAACAAGAAAAGTCTTTTCTATACAGTTGATAACCTGAAAGTGGTGGTTTTCGTCTGTGATTTTTTGTGTTTGATTTCATGTTATATTCCAAAGTAAATGTCCAAACTAATCACCATCCCCTACTGTAGTGCTTATTTGTCTGCTATGAGTCTTCTGCTGGTCTAGCAGGCATTATAGATTCATCGTTTAATCTTTAGGAAGACCAAAACATTGTCAGCTTAACTGAGAAAAACAACACCAAAAACCATCTAGTTAGGATAAGGTGTGTTTATCCTTATTAGTATATCGTAGGCCTTAATGAATAAATCCTAAATATGCGGTTCTTGGTCTGACTCTTCCTCATAATTTCAAGCTGAATCTAAAGTTTCATTTATGGCTACTGGACCAGTAGATAACCCATAGCCCAGATCTAAGACAGACATGTAAGTCTACAATATAGGTGGATACTTGCTTAGCTTAGTTGGGTGAAGTAAACTCTATGCTGCCAACAAGTTCCCTGGCAAAGTATGATATGTTATGACCAATGGTTGGAACTGAGTGACAAAGTTAGCAATTACAGGGGAGATGATTGATGACTTTCTGTTCCATCACCCCAGAGTGATGAATTTAAAACACTTTTGGCTACTATGCTACACATAATTTGTGAATACTTATTTCCCACAAGTAATAATTCATCATTGATGTACAGGTGTATATGCACTACAGGTGAGTGTGGTGAACCTTATAAAGTTTACATACCAAGGTAAAATGAAAGGATTGCAGTACAGAGATCCTTTCATTTAACAAGGTGTACATGAATAATGTTGGATATAAGCAGTTTATTTTGTTTATTGACAGGTCCGGGGTGGGTATAATGTGACTCACCCTCCAAGCGAGTTGTCAGCTCGGACCCCATCATCTCGGCTTGTCCTGCCGTCATGTCAGCATCTGTCTCTACATAAGAAACTGACTCAGTTTCACATTACCCCAACAGCCGAAAGGGGATTAACTTTTTGTTAAAGTATACTAAAAGATCTGTGGCCTTTTACCATTATTGTGGGCTAATTAGACATATGTTTGCTTTTTTTTTAGGTTAATCTGACTTTAAGTGGCTTAGTTCTTTCATTGGGGACATATTTAAGGGAAAAAATTATTGGGGATTATATTAACATTCCAGCAGTGAATTTTTTTGTGTAATTTTCTTCCCTGCATAAAAAATTTAAAAGGATGTACTGTACTGAAACTCACGAAAGCAAAGTTTTAAAGTAATAAGTAATATGAGAAAATTTGAACGTTGTATTCAGAAATTGATTTTGATTGAAAGTGACTCTAAAAACCCTTAAAAATTGTCAACATTGTTATTAATTGCCTATAAAACTGTATATTTATCTGTTTGTTCAAACAAGGATGGTATCCAATATTTGATCAACTAGAAAAGTAGAAAGCAGCCAGAAAGCTTGTCAATTGGGACACAACCTAGGTGGTTCAGTTATCAAAACTGTTTGTAAAATTAGAATCCAAATTGTAAAAGAGGGTGAAATAAAATCCTCTATATGAAAAAATCATACACAAGTTCAATATTAGCAACATTGGCGGGAATTAAGGGGGCATATATGAGGAATATATAGAAATATGCATGTAAAGCCTATGCAAAATAAAACCACCGCCCACCTAATTTAGTGGTCAATGGCCGCTACTGAATAGCTAGGTAAAATAATGTATAATGGATGATAAAACTAAAACAATCATCAACAATTGATCTAATTTCTCTGAGAGCAGTGTTTATTTTACCCAAGGAAGGAATTGGTTTTAAAATCCTTTAAAATAACTATTATGTTAATGGTTTTTCTTTTTCTCTTTTTCTTTTCATCCTCTACTGTTAAACACTACAACACAACAAGAACTTTGACTGATAAGTAAAAAAATGTTTAATAAATTAGTTATCAAAACTGATACCCTAATATAAGTGCTTTAGTGATTTTATGATTTTTCTAAGAAGTTGGTTTTAGATTTACTTTTATGTTCTAATTTTTTAAGCTTCCTTGAAGAGCAAAATATGAACTATTACCATAAGACTGTCTAGAAGTGAGTACAGAGAAAAGTTTCAACTTCATTAAAATGTTAGAGAGCCACTGTGGAAATGAAGACATGTTATACTCAATAAATTGGTGTTAAATAACATAATATAGTGACTGTACATAGCCTCTAAGTTAAGGAGTTTGTTTAGTAAGAGTAGAATCAAGATTCTTCATAAAGGAATGAAAATTATCTACACAATAAAGTACACGGAAGGAAAAAAAACTGCCTCTGATGAATTACTCTACAAAAAATGGTTGTTAAAGCTTGAATAGTGTGTCTGTCTTGTTATACATTTGTATGCCTCGTAAATTAGGTTTACATTACGTTACGTGATCACATATATTTTGGTTTGATGAAAACTGGTTTTGAACCTAAAGGTCCATTCCCATATTGAATACGAAGCTATTAAAAATCCTTACAATTTGAGTGAAAAGATTTATAAGGCTATTCAACAAAAAAGTACCTCTTAAGTTTTGTATTTCAGTTGTTAATTTTAATCAATCATTCCTCATTTTGGATTCCCCAAAAGGGCAGGATTATGATATTAGCTGCTATGAATCATTAGCTAATATGGCATAAGCGCTTAAATTTGTAATGTTTACAGTAACATGTTAAAATTTGGTGCATTCCTCTGCCCAATAAAAAGTGTTGATAAAGATAAGGGTAGTTTGAACATATGGCTGAATTTCTATTGTCATGTTTATCTATTAATTAATTATTTTTGTTTAGTTTGGCAGCTATGAATTTGATTTTTTTTTAATATCATGGATGTATATTTGGTTAAAGTTGAGGCCATGTTGACCAGAAAATAATATTCCTTTTGAACTAGTTGATCAACAAAATAGACACATTGACTAAGAGTAATTTGAAAAGAATTATTTATTCCACCCCTGATAAAATAAAACTCAATTTGAATGCAATATAATTAATAGTCCCCCAACCTTGGTGTCAGACCAAATGTGTTTACTAAAAGAATGTTAAAAATATAACTTAATTTGAATGCAAAATAATAAGTGAATACTCCTGTTGCAGGAATATTGCTTACTAAAAGAATTAAAAGTTGATTTATTCAGTTCCTTGCTAAGCAGGTTAAAAATAAAAGGAAAATCATATGCTTGCCCTATACATACTAAACATTGTGCTAGAAGGACCACCAATATGTTTTGATAAATTTTCAAAAACTACTATAAAATAAAGAAATTTGTGTAGTTTAATGATGCTTTATTCATCAATTACTAATGTACATTGATTATTTGATTCCTCATTAGAATCATTATTAGTAGAATTATTATTATTTATTAGAATTATTAGGGGAAATATACAGAGATTAGAACTAAAATCTTTATAGATACCGTTTCGTGTAAAATACCCCTTTCAATAGGCACATTAGGCTGATTACTCATTTAGATTTTTTTTTTTATTTGTTTGAACTAAACTTTATGAAAATATCAGACATACAAGATCAGAATTAACAATTTGAAAGAATGTTTATTTTTGTATTTGGATAACCCTGAACTAAAAAAGTACAGTTTGTGGCTTTAAAATAAGTTCTCGCCATGATCACTGCAGTAATAGACATTTCCTTAAAGGGAAATTTGCTCATATTCTGTCATACAGAATAATGTTAAAATTTTCAATTTGTATTTGTTAAAACAATATTTATGTTAGTATGGGGGTTATTTCCAGATTAGGCAAAGTATTTGTAACGTATTATTGATATTATTCATTTATAAAATAAAATTCCACATTTTGGTAGGCCACAGACTTATATTACCTTTATAAATAAACTTTAAAATATGATTTAGTAAATTCTGCATTCCAAAGAAAATACCCAAAGAAAAAAAGCATTTCCATTAAGTTTAGGAAATGTCACACTGCAAGTATGTAACATAGCAAAACTGACACAAGTTGATTACAAATCTCCAGCATAGAATCATTGACTTTATATCTATGAACTTACATTTGATTTTAATCTATTACTGTTGATAGTTATAAATTATAAGAATGAGTTGCTGTTTGATTAAATTTGGATGTTATAATGATATGTCTTAATTTAATACTCATGAATAAATGTGTTTTTTAATGATGCAACATGATCTTCTTACTCTAAAGAGACATTTAGACTTTACAAGGTTTTTACAAAGAATGAATCTTGTGTTCCCATTTTAGGTTTAGTATTTAATATTAAGCAACAAATAAACTTCTACTGACCAAGTTGATCTAACATCTTATCAATTTTACCTACCTCTCTTATCAATACATTTACATACATACTTAAAATTAGAAGTACCGGCAGTAGTATGGTTATTTTTAATTTGTTAATATGTTTTCCTTTTTTTTAATAGTAATACATACAAAACAACTAATTAAAACACATCCCAAAATCACAGGAAAGGAACACTTAGAGGTTAGGTTTTCAAACACACATTTTATTTCATTCTAAAACCAAACTTATTGTATTATTTTGCTAAACATTGTGTTAAAACGTTGAATAGGTGTTTTTTTACTCACTTTGGTTTCCTTCGGTGCTGATATTTGAGTGTAAGGCACTGGAATGTGCCTATCCATACTCTTGTAAGCCTTCACCATTTTTGTTTTCATGTCTTGATCTAACAAGTCACCTTCCTTAAGTAACCTCACCCCCTCCCCTATCAACTCATTGATGTCTATCCCTTTATGAGGGAGTTTAGCAGCAGGCATTGTTAAAAGACAAGTTCCCACGTGACAAAAATACTAGATACAACTAAGTTCTTTACTCTAAATCAAAAAAGCAATAATAACAAGTAAAAAATAATTCCCCAGAAAACTTAAATCCCAAGTAATAGACAAATATTATTTTAACCTAGCAAATACAATTTATGTGAATGCCTTTCCCTAATTCTCACATAGGTCTACTTCTGACCAAGTTTGAAGACAGAATGGGATCAGTGTGAGCAGATATCTCACAAGTCTACATTCAAAAGGTTATCTGCAGTTCATTGTGCTAAGCCACAAAAGATAAACCTAGGAAAATTACTTTGGCCTTATCTCCAACAGACAATATTGTAATTTATCCATATAAGAATTGGGCAACCTGTTTTTGCATTCTGGAATTAACTGTGTGTAATTAAATTAAACTATTTAAACCAATGAGAACATTGTCAAGATGACTCAATAATGAATAAATGAATTGACATTTTTATGGGATTTCCGCATCAGGGCTTATCTTAACTAGACCCTGGCTATTAAATGATGTGTACCATTCTAGAATTTAGTAAAGAAAGTTGTACCTAGTTGAGCACAAAAAAAGATCCTATTTTATCTAAGCTCAAGCAAAGATATTAATGGGTAAGTGATCAAAATATCCCCTGGTCAACTATTTGTTTGACATACTTAAACTAACCAATCTCTGATGATGGTTGTGTTTTTATTTGATTGAATTATGTATAGACATAGCCTATTATGTAATGTTTAATGGCCAAATAAACAATTTGAATTTGAAATAGGTTTTGCTGATGCTGACATTGATGAAACCCTGATTTACATACTAGTATCAACCTGGCAAGAAATCTTTAATGGATATTCTACATTGTAATTCTTACAAGTTTACATTTTAAAGATGATCAGTCTTGAACAGAAATAACTAAAAATTGTTTTTTGTGTTACAACTTTCCCCTATTCTGTGTTCATAATAGAATAAAGAGATAATTTTACACACTACTTCGATAAATTTATACAAATGACTTACCTTGTTAGAATTCTTCTGTGTTAACATGAAAAACTTAGCTCAATATACATTAAGATGAACCACAAGCACAATTACGTGTAAACTATTTTGGGTAAAAGTTGCCGTACATTAAATTAATTCACATTTCAGGAAAATTAAGTGTAGAATAATAAAATTAAAACCTTAAACCTTAGATATATTACTGCATGATTTCCAACATGAACTAAACACTGATGCTGATGTCATTTTTAGTAATTGCAATGACAATATAGGAAAATGTGTCATTACATGTTAACTAAACTTCTTGTTTTAGACTAGTACAAAATATAGCTAAACTGCCTTGAAGTAGGAATTCTATTAAAGCTTCAAACCCCCGCCACAGCAAACCTGCAGACTAAGCAAATTTAATTTGCCTGATTTGATTTCCACTTAAATGTTCCCTTAAACATGTAAAATTTATCCCCCCTTTTTAAATAAAATTAGGTTTAATGAGTAGCTAATTAGGTTTGTTGCAACATATAGGATAATAAAGTGTGTTTTAGCAAAATGTATACAGAGTGGCTGAAAAGTACCTTGCACCCCCCCCCCTTAACTTTGTAACCATTTGAGACATTTGAAATCGGTTTGCGGCAACCTTCAGAGGGGCTAGAATAATTATCGTTAATTTAGAAAATTTTTCCCTTAAGAGGAGTAGGGGTTACCTCTAAATTTTCAAAATGGAAGTATTGTCGACTTTGGTATCATTTTACAGATCTTGTCAAAAGTAAACAATTGACATAAATAAGATGGAAATATGACCCCAAATAACAAAATGGCAGCTAAAAAATACTTTTACCAGTGTCTTAATCAGAATTCATGTAAAGTGGTGGTAAAAATATAGCTAATTTTAATTCACTTTCAATTTGTATCAAGGCAACATTTTTTCTATTTCGGATCATTGCTAATAAGATGTGTGGTTAAAAAACAGTACCTGGAAAATCCCAAACTCTCCATAATTGCTGTTATCAGTAATCTCTGTCCGGTTTCCTTGGTTTGTCGAATTCTTTTTTTCTAGTTGAAGGTTCAGTAGTACTGAGAACTGCCCATATATTGTACATGACCAAACTGCAGGCCTAAACTATTGCGGCTTTTTGATTGTTGTATGTTGGTTTGTAATTTGTCATGGTTTAGTCAGAATTAGTACAAATTGTTTTACTGTTTGGGCAAACTGGCACTTACAGTGGAGCAACAAAAGGCATCCTGAACATCAAATCACTAAACAAGCTGTGTCTAATCTAGTAAAAAAGTTTCAGCGTACAGCGAGTGTTGTGGATGAGCCCAGATCCGGTCGGCCTAGCACAGGTGAATTAACAGAAGCAGGCGTTTTAGCAGAGTTTTCTGTTAATCCTCAGCAAGTGGAGTTGCACAACAACATAATATAAGTAGGTGGGCAGTGAACAAAGTTTTAAAAAACCACCAATTCCATCCATATAAGATCACGTTAGTCCAGGAACTGTCTGAAGATGACTTTGATAGAAGAATTGAATTTTGTGAATTAATGACAAAGAAGTTGGAATCTAGAGAAATCTCTACTTTTGAAATAGTTTTTAGTGACGAGGCTTCATTCCAACTTAATGGACACCTTAACCGACATAACTGTAGGTATTGGGCACAAGAGAACCCCTACTGCTGATACTGAGAAAGCCACACTCAACACCCGCAGAGGCTAAATGTATGGGTTGGAATGATTGGTGACTTCATCATAGGTCCTTTTATTATAAATGGTAATTTAAATGGCACAGTCAGTATACAATAATATGCTAAGAACACAAATCATTCCAGCTCTTAACAACCTAATAAAAACAACTGCAACACCAGATGAAAATCCAGTTTTCAACAGTGATGCCATATATTTTCAACAAGATGCAGCTCCTCCACATTATGCTAGGGATGCAAGGGATACATTGAACATTGAATTTCCTAATCATTGGATTGGTCGAAGAGGTAGTATTGAATGGCCAGACCTAAATCCATTAGATTTTTTTCCATGGGGCCATTTAAAATCATTGGTTTATGCCTCACAGCCAAGGTCCCTCGAAGAATTAAGAATAGGGATAGAAACGGAATGCAGACAAATTAACAATCAAACTTTCCAAAATGTAAGGAACATATTTCAACAGAGATTGTACTACTGCAGGGAGGTACAGGGAAAGCAATTTGATCATCTGATTTTGAAAAAAAGGTAATTTTTTGTACTATTTCTTAATAGACTTTTTAAACAAAAATGTTCATTATCATGGTTGATTGGATTTAATTAATTTTAGGGTGCCATTTTGTTATTAGTGGTCCGATTTTTATTTTATTTACATCAATTATTTAGTCTCGTTAAGACCTGTAAAATGATACCAAAGTCAACTATATAGTTCATATTTGAAAATTTTGGGCTGACCCATACCCACTCTGCCTTAAGGGGAAAATTTTCTAAATGAATCATCATTATTGTAGCCCTTTATAACTAGGAAGGTTGCCGCAAACCAATTTCAAATATCTCAAATGGTTAAAAAGTTAAGGGGGGTGCAAGTTACTTTTCAGCCCTCCTCATGGTTGATTAGGTTTTAATCGTTTTAGGGCGCCATTTTGTTATTAGTGGTCCGACTTTTATTTTCTTTATGTTAATTGTTTATTTTCGTCAAGATCTGTAAAATGATACCAAAGTCGACTACCTATACTTTCCATTTGAAAATTTTGAGCTAACCCCTATCTGGGGAAAGGCAAACATTTCAAAATTAACCATCTTTACTGTAGCCCCTCTTATCTAAGAAGGTTGCCGCGATTTCAAATATCTCAATTGGTTAAAAAGTTAATGGTGGTTGCAAGTTACTTTTCAGCCACCCTGCTTAGTATGAAACAAAAAAAATTACAAAAATTTATGAGAATGTTAATACATTTTGTGTTTATGGGTGCTTTTGATGTTTGTACTAAAATATTTGGGATTTTTGTAATTAACATGTTTTTTTTCAACGGTGTTTGTTTTATCACATGGTTATCGTTTATTTTCAAATAAGCAAAGAAAACAACATAGTGTTGTTTCTGGCTGCAGTATGTAATGACTGGGTTTTGTGGTTTAAATGTTGAAAGAAAAGAAGATTGAACCAAGTAAGAAACTTAAGACACCCAAACAGCAGGTAACCTTCAAGCCATAGGCTATCGAAGGGCTCACCCGAGCGCTGATAAATACTGATAGATCAACAAAATTTGACAGGATCAAAAATTATCTTATCGTTTTAATGAAGTGAGACCCCTGTAATGAGATCTTTGCTCTTAAACAATTTCTTAGATACTTTCATCACGTTTTGAGACATGCACTCATACTATCATCAAATAATCGTGTGATCGTTACATTTTAGTATCTAATCTTACTTGTAGCAAAAAATTGCATTGCTCAATCAAATTCTTAAAATAGGTTCGTAAAAGGGTATAAAATTGTGTACCTATATAAGCTATGATTTCACTAAATGGTGTTAACAAATTGTGAAATGTTTTAAGTCAAACATTTATAAAAACTCCCAGTTCAGAATCACTAGACTTAAAAATCTGTGTATGATAGTAGTGTATAATCTAATAGTAACGATTCTTGAACATTCCAATCCAATCCAATCAGCAGTGAGTAAAGTTTTTGAAGGTCTGGTGCTGGATTTTGTCAAGCCCTGTTTTAGGCAAATGGTCGTGGAAGAGCAACATGGATTTACATTGGGCAGATCTACAATCTCTAATTTACTGGTTTTCCAAGACTACATTTTGGAAGCATTTAGCAGTGGAAATCAGGTGGATGCTATATACGTTGATTTCGCTAAATCCTTTGAGAAGGTCAGCCATAGCCACCTTCTTGCCAGGGCCGTCCGAAGGGGTGGGGGGCAACCGGGGTAAGCTGCCCCGGGCGCCGAGCAACGGCTGTTTGTATTAACATAGTATTAAAATATGCGAATGCGACTATTACTGCTGGGGGGGAGGGGGCACCATGACCATGTTTTCTCCGGGTGCCGCCAACCTTTAGGACGGCCCTGCCTCTTGCCAAGTTGCATGGTTATGGAATTGTTGGGAATCTGTGGCAGTGGTTCGGTAGTTACTTACAGAATCGGACTTTTGCTGTAAAATATGGCTCTAACATGTCAGCTTCCTTTATTGCCACGTCAGGTGTTCCTCAAGGCTCACTGCTAGGACCACTTTTATTTGTGCTGTTCATCAACGACATTGGTAAGAACTTGAGTGTTAGTTATTCATTGTTTGCTGATGATGTCAAGCTATACCAGACAATAAGAACAGGTGATGACTTTCGTTTGCTGCAGGCTTCGCTCCACCAACTCTCACATTGGTGTGATTCAAACCTGATGGAAATAAATCCTTCCAAGTCCAAGCACATTACTTTTCATAGAACAAAATCTCCAATTGCCGAGGACCTGTACTTGGGTGGTGATCTCATTGAAAGGTGCAATATTGTGAGAGATCTTGGTGTGTATATGGATTCCTCTCTGAACTTAAGTACCGTACTCACTTTGATGGTATTTGTTTAAGAGCATCAAGGATGATAGGTTTGGTCTTTAGGCTGTGGAAATTCGGCCTCAACACCCGGACTATAACATTGTTATACAAGTCATTAGTTAGACCGATCCTCGAATATGCTTCCTCGATATGGTCTCCATATCAGCTGGGACAAATTGATAAGCTTCAGTCAATACAGAGAAGATTCATGAGAATACTGGGAGTGAAGAATGGATATGCCTACAGAGAGGTTCCTATTACCGAGCTCGAAATCAACCGAAGTTTACCGTCTCTGTCTTCTAGACGCCTGATTGCTGATTTGGTATTTCTCTATAAGCTGATAAATGGAGTTACTGATTGCCCCTACCTGCTTCATCTAGTCCTATTCCTAGAATGCTGAGAGCTGGTAACGAGGTCTGCAATCTGGTGGATTTCTTCTCGGACTCCTTGGGTACGTTTAGACGCTCAGTCCTCTACTTGGAGCAGTGATAGATGGAAAGTCTTCTTCAAGTACGAAGTGGCTAGGTCCGTTGTTGGTGGAATTGAGCTTCTGTGTAGTGCTGGGTGTTTGGTGGCTGCGTTAAAGGGCCACATCTGAGTGTTTGTGTTTGTTTTTTTGTAGTGGGGGCATGGTCTCCTCACTTTTCATAGTTTTTTTCAATATAATGTAGTGTTTGTTATCTTTTGGTAGCTGCGTTAAAGGGCTACACCAGTGTCTGTGAGGGCATGGTCTCCTCACTTTTCCTCCAAACACACTTCTCCTACTCTATTATTGTAGTCATCTGTTCTGCTACCTGTATTTTTAATCATGCTGTAATAATAATGCTTTAATAACGCTGTAAATAATTATGTTATCTTTGAGTATTCTCTTTATTATCTGTTGCTATTGTATTGAATAATTATCAATGTTTTGTTGTACAGTAGTGCTTTGCTTATTAAAATTGTAAATTACTTGTAAATACTTGTAAATTGTGACTTGAGTGCTGATACAGTTATGTTATTGTTATGTCATTTCTAATATTCTATTATATTTATTGCTACTGCATTGAGTATTATATTGTTATGGTTGTATTGCTTTGCATTTTAGAATTGTCAAATGTATTCTTGAACCATGAAACCTATGTGTAACTGTTATTGCTGATCTGTATATCAATTGTTTGTATAAGTCAATAATCTATTTAGTATTAATATCTTAGGCTACCATCTTGATGTACACAAATTTGTAAAATTGTTTTAACCGTGGGACATAAATAAATAAACATTTACGCAAAGAGAAACAAAATTCACTTAGCCGAAATACTAGCTTTTAAAATCTGTATAGAATACCATTGTATGATCTTGTGAATTTAGAAATAAATTTTTCAAGAAAAAGATATTTCATGGGAATTAAAAAATAAGCAGAAATAATTTCTAATCAGTATTTAGACTATGAGTTAAAAGTGTGCAAGCCTTAGATTTTTGTTCAAGCCCAGTTCTCGGTAGAAAGCCTGAGCCTTAAGTTTCAGACAAGCTGTTGTATACGGGCGAATAGTTATGATGACAAGTAATAAATTGATTTTCCTACAGTTACCTAACAATGTACATGTTATCTCACTGATTTGAGAAAGCAAAGTGGCCAATTCGCTCATCAGTGAGACAATGTTAACATTGTCTCACTCTAAATTACTTTGTCTCACTCACTCCAGATTTTCAATGTGAAGGCACAAAATAGTGAGCGCGTAACATGCAGACAAGGTCTTATGCGCGCAAAATACGTTGGCAGCACTGGTTGTAAATCAGCTGGTCAGCTGGTTGTACTGTTGAATCATTGAATGTAATATTAAAAGTTCACTTCTGTGTAAAAAATATGTCACGTTTCTTTACCAATTTATTTTTTTTATGGTAACTGTAGGAAAAATATAATGTGCAACTCGAGTGCAAAGTGCAATTGCCTCACTCGAGAAATTATTCCTCACTCGCCTACGACTCGTGAGTAAGTATTTCTCTCGAGTGAGTCAATTGCTCCCTTTGCTCACTAGTTGCACAAATAACTATTTATTACTCAACTCTTCTTTTCAAAATCCATTTAAATATTAGGATATTTTTGAATTTGATATCGTATTGTGGTCCACTGTGGTATAGTGGAAATCATAAATTTGGTGTAATGTGTAAATATGTTTAATCATCATGGCTATAATCTGTGATTTTGGTACTATCGTAATCATCACCAATGATCCTGGCGACAATTTGATCAACTCTCGTGATTGTGATGATATTGTGAACTTTTGATTGTGCAAACTTTGCAGATGCTTTGTGATCATGAGTTTAATGCGGGATTAAAAACATGGCAGGTCTTGATATTCTGACTCAGTATTCTTTTGGTATTATTACTCGTTTGACTTGAGCTTTTATGCTAGGCTCGGCTCAAACATTTTTCACTGAAATCAACAAGTATTAGCTTTATTGATTTCCCTTAAAAACTAAAATAATGTTAGGTAGCGAATTAGGGATGGAGGTAAGAGCAATAGCTATATAGCATTTTGTTTTGTATAAAAAAGTTTATTGATCTTTAAATGCAGTAGAAAATAACACAGATACCTTACATAGATACAATATACAGAAACTTTCCCTATTTTATAAATAAACTTAATATATTCTATCCTAAGGTTATAACAGGTAAAATACACGCACAAACACACACACACATACAGACTCACACAAACATACACACATACATATACAAGTATTCTAAAAACAAAGGTGAAACATATTTACAAAATGGTATAATACTAAACTAATGGAAATAGATATTTCTTATCACATATAAAAATTTGTTCAGTCGATAAAACTACTTGAAAACATTCAATGTTGTGATCGTATGAAAAAAAGAAATTGCTTATTTATGTCATCTCTGGCAAAAAAAATATATTGACACAGACAACCAAAAAGTCCTAATAATACAAAACTTAACTATATTGGTGCTACGACTGAAAAGTCTACATCTTTCAAATGATTTTGGAATTGTTAAGTATCACATTTAGTTTTTAAATACCACAACCACAATAACCTGTGGCAAATAGGAAGTATTAAGTGAGAGTTAAAGCTACGACTGTCACCAACACACATACTATCAGCGGAGTAGCTCGAGTGGCCCCGCTCTGTCTTGGAGGGGCTCCTGCAAAAAAAGTAAAATTATCATACAACTTTTTGTTGAGAAAACTTGAATTTTACAGAGACAAAAAACTGAAGTGAACTCTTTTTTTGCATCTCATCTAGGTGGTTGTGTAGCCAAGTGTTCTACTTTATACTTCTACTTTATACTTCTATGACAATAACAAAAGAATAAGAAACCCTGCTATAATATATTAAAATGGTTTTAACCTAAGTCAAATTGTATAGAAAATTGTATTTTTGTGATTTTAGTTCATGATGTAATCATGCAAGCTTTAGTTCATTGAGCTAGAGCTTTACACGAGAAGACAATAATCCACCATCTTGTGAAGTCTAATTGTAAATGTAATAATGTTCTGGTGGTCCAATGCTCCAATACAACCATAAACGTATTCTTTCAATGTTAAAAGTTGTTAATAATTATGTGATGTTAAAGTATTCTACAGCCCCGGTGTTAGTGTACACACTCTCAACGAGTAGTGCTCCGACAGCGCAAAGCTTCAAAGGTACGAATTCACAGCCCAAACGAGTTAACATATCACTTTTTTTTAAATTCCAACATACATATAAATTTTTTCCAAATACAAACAGCTATTTTTAAATAAAAAAAATTTAATTTAAATTTATTTATGAACAACTAAATTTTAAAAATTTATAATTTTAAACAGCTAGTGATTATTATCTTATTTTTTCACACCTGAATGCCAATTTTGGTGAGAATCGCATTACCCATTCTCCCTGTGAATTGGTACCAAAGATGAAAAATTTACTACTTTCAAGCTCCATATCTCGCTTAATATTCAAAATATAAAAAATCTCTTATAAATTTGTATCTTTAATTTTTAGAACAATTGAACAATAACAAAAAATCAGACATGAAAATTTACGACCAAACACCCTTAAGGTGATACAGTGACTATCAATAATTGCAAGGAGACAATTTTGACGAGTGGTAGTCAAGCAAATGTATTGAAGAATTCTATTAAAAACAGTATGTGCTCTTTATTTTTTTTTTATTTTTTTTACTGAATTACAATTTCTATAACTTATTATCGCCATTCACAATAAATAAAGGAACCACAAAAACAACCAAAAAGATTAATTTTTTCCAGGGTTATTTACCATCAAACATAAGTGTAAAATATAAGTTAATACGATTCAGTTGAATAGTTGGATAGAAGAAGGAAGTAAACATGTTCAAGTTATTTTGGGTTCATGATCTAAATTGCAAAAGAATGTGTAAAGAAAAAAAAATCACTGTGGTAAACATGTTTACATTATAAATTCAATAATAGAAATTGAGATAAGTTTTGACTACGCTACTGATACAGACTATCTAGTTTGGTAAATCTGTAAACAAAAAGATAATTACTAGCGTTATCTAAAGTAAAACAATGTTTTCTTGAATACCCTTTTGCTGAAATGTACTTTAGTTAGGCAATTTAATGTTATGGCCACAAAAATATGACAATCACAAATAGTTCAAATTTATACCAACTGCTAATAATTTAACCTATATTTTTTGAAATTAGGTAATTTTACCATCCAATGAAATTATGTAATTAGTACAGGTAAAATAGGGTTTTATAAACAACAAAATTTGTACATTCATGAAATTTCACCTGTGAGTTACTAATAATATGATAAATGAAGATCCGATGAGTCCCCAAAATTTTGGGCGTCCTAAGGCCCTTTTTGGGGCCCTTTTTGTTCCGAAGGGCCCTTGTTCCTGAATAATTTTGTTTTTACGTTTAAGGTCGAGTGAGGTGTGGTTTTCGATGGTTTTAGTTATTTTAAATCAATTGGGACTAGTTTTAAGTGTATTAAACCACTCCATACAGGGTGTTTCGAAATATTATTAATTTTTACGATATTTAAACATTTATTCATAAAGTAATAAAATTAGTTACCTCCATGCTCTATATAAAAGGGGATTATTGAAAATAATTGTAGTTCTTTACTACGTAAGGGGAAAGGATCACAAGGAGTAAGAGAAAATATTAAATACCCCCGTCACAGCAAACCTGCAGATATAGCGAATTTCCGTTTTACTTACTTGATTTTCAATTAAATCTAAAATAGCATTGCGTTTAACGATTACCTAGGTTTGCTGCTACAAGGAGGCTTAAAAAGTATGTTTATAGTAAAATATTAATAGCTTAGTATAAAACAAATAAATTTGACAAGTTTGATCAAAATATATCTATTAACAAACAAACAAAATCATTTTACACTATTCTACATAAGAAAAACATGGGAATTTTAAATTTCCAATTTCAGTATTTTTATCCGTAACCATACAAAAACACGTTAATATACTAAATTATTTGTTTTTAAGCTATTTAAAATGTTCTGGAGAAAAATTGGGAAGCTTTGTGTTATGAGGGTAAAGTGAAACCCCAATTTTTACCCCATAAACCTCGTTCCCATTGTTCAGGACAAAAATGCTTGTACCGACAATGCTGCTCTGATGTCTTAGTGCTGTGCTGGTCGTCATAACCACGAAAGATAACCGTACTTGTATTGATTGAAAATAAGTTTGAGGAACTTAAGATACAAGTTGCAAACGTCAGTATGTATGAAAGGCGTTTTTGCACCACATTGTTCGTGCTTTAAGATTGGTGTTGCCTGTTCTGCAATATGCAAGGTTTTAGGTTTGTAAAGGGGAATCCTGTTTGAACACCAACTTGGACAAAACCAGTAAAGATGGACAAGTTGCTAAGAATAATAAAATTGTTAATGAGTCGTCTGAGAATAATTATTGTGATGATGAAATTGTAAAGAGAGATACTTCGGAAATTGTAGAAAAATAGCTTTAGTTTAAGTACTTCATTTTAATATAATATGTAATGTAAGGTTTTATACAAATACAATTGTTTTAATTTTTAATAAATGTAAAAAAATAACTTAAATAACTACCTAAGAAAAATACATATCAATTTGAAATTGGTCTTAATAGATTTGCACAAAAAACATGTTGAAAGATTATTCTTAAAAGTTGCAATTTTTGCTTGGTAACCTATGTTATAATGTTATAGTGTAAAACTTAATCCATCCCCTTTTAGCGAACATCCCATATAGGAGATAAGCTATTACCGAAGGTCTTATGGTAAAACATAGACCCGAAACCGATTTACGTTTTCATTTCGATGCCCCCAGAAGCCTAAAGCACCATCCACTCAAAATATTATATATGTGTTTATATACATATATATAATATAATATATCCATGTTATATACGTGTCCATAAACATGATAACTCGAGTAATTTTGGTTCAATTTTAACGAAACCGGCATAATCGGTCCATGGAACAGGGTTTTATGTCGTAAAAGTTTGTAATCTTTGACCCTCAAAAGACAAAGTTTCCCAATTTTTCTCTATAGCATGTTAAAGAGCTTAAAGAAAAGAAATAATTTAGTATATTATCATGTTTTGTAAGTGTATTAATTACGAATTAAATTTAAAAATTGTAAATTTAAAATTCCATGTTATTCTTAAGGAGAATAGCGTAAAATGATTTTGTTTGTTTGTTCATAGATATGTCTTAATAAAACTTGTCAAATTTATTTGTTTTATACTAGGCTATTAATGTTTTACTATAAACACACTTTATTAGCCTCCTTGTCGCAGCAAACCTAAGTATTCATTAAACTTAATGCTATTTTAGATTTAATTGAAAATCGGGCAAATGAAAATTCGCTTAGTCTGCAGGTTTGCTGTGAGGGGGGTATTTAATATTTTCGCTTACTCCTTGTCATCCTTCCCTCTTATATAGTAAAGAATTATTACAGTTATTTTTAATAATCCCCTGTTTTATAGAGCATGGAGGTAACTAATTTTATCACTTTATGAATAAATGTTTAAATATTGTAAAAAGTAATAATATTTCGAAACACCCGGTATGGAGTGGTTTAATACCCTTAAAACTATTCCCAATCGATTTAAAATAACTAAAACCATCGAAAACCACACCTCACTCGACCTTAAACGTAAAAACAAAATTATTCAGGAACAAGGTCCCTTCGGAACAAAAAGGGCCCCAAAAAGGGCCTTAGGACGCCCAAAATTTTGGGGACTCATCGGATCTTCATTTCTTATATTATTAGTAACTCACAGGAGAAATTTCATGAATGTACAAATTTTGTTGTTTATATGGAGTGTTTTTGTATTATTTTACCTGTACTAAATGGCAGCACTAAAAATATGGCAACTGCCAACCTGCAGACTATGTCAATCTCCAGTTGAATCATTCAATTTTTATTCAAACAAATTGACTATAAATAACAGTAGATAACCAATGTAAATTAACACTTTGATTTTTACTACACTTTTGTAACAAAGAGTGTTAACTAAACGAGGACATACTGGGAGAATCATAGAAAAATTATATTTTTGTTACAAAGACATGTGGTTTCAAATAAGTTAAGTTTTCATATTCATTTCACGTTATTTTTCCAATTTGTTTGTTCTTGTTAACTTATTTACTAAATTTTTTTGGATTCCAAATCTACATAGGTATGAGAGTCACATAAGATCTGTACCTGTGATGGGCTTCCAAGGCTTGGTGGGGATTGATGGTCGTTTTGTCACAAACCACGAAGTTGCCGGAGGAGTGGTGGGAGGGTTAGGATCAGCAAGTTTGGCACCACCTGTAAACATAAGGATAGATAAGCTGTGGAAAAAGAAAACGTCTTTTGCAGTGCTTAATAGTGGCACTTCCTCGCCATTATACAGGATGTTCAAAAAAGGTGGGGACATATTTCACCTAGTGCTTGGGTGAAAATAAAGAGAAAATCACGTATAACATTTTTTCCAAAATCGCTTCATTAACCAGACTATCCGCCATTTTGTATTTTTTACATAACAATTTTTATCTTTGGACTTTTTCAACCAATATTTATAAAACTTGGTATGTATGATAAGGTAGAAGAGACCCATGTTAGAAAAAAAATCATCTTGATTCAACTTAAAATTTCAAAATGGCGGCCATTTTAATTTTTTAAACTTAAATTACTCAAACAAACAGCTGATTTTATAAAAAAACGTCTAGAGCACTTTTAATTAGAATTTTTAATTCCCTATCAAACAATACCAAGTCCAAAAAGATCGAATAAGAAATAGCTGAAATATTAAGATTTTTAGTTGTAAAATGGGGCAAACCTGACTAGCCTTACAAAACCCCATTTCACCCCTTACAGCCTTATTCTATCCCATTTTACAACTAAAAATCTTAATATTTCAGCTATTTCTTATTCGATCTTTTTGAACTTGGTATCCTTTGATAGGCAATTCAAAATGCTAAATAAAAGTGTTCTAGAAGTTTTTTCATAAAATCAGTAGTTTTTGAGGAATTTAAGTTTAAAAAATTAAAATGGCCGCCATTTTGAAATTTTAAGTTGAATCAAGATGATTTTTTTTCTAACATTGGTCACTTCTACCTTATCATACATACCAAGTTTTATAAAGATCAGTTGAAAAAGTCCAAAGATAAAAACGTTTTGTAAAGAATACAAAATGGTGGATATCTGGTTAACGAAGTGATTTTGGAAAAATTTTTATACTAGATTTTCTCTTTATTTTGGCCCAAGGAATCACTAGGTAAAATATGTCCCGACCTTTTTTGAACACCCTGTATAGCTCTGCCATCAGAGTCTTGTAGACTTGTAGACTTATGACTTCGCTACAGATAACCTTTCCACACACTCTATATGCTGCCACCTCAGTCCGATACTGCTTATTCACAAAAAGGGGGGTTTCTCAAAAATCCACCAGATATTTCCACAAGACGCAAGAAGAGGATGTGTCTAGAAAATAAGGATGCATGATAGCTTTTTTCATGACTCAAACAGGTTTCTAAACACCAAGAGACTACCATAATATTGGTCCAACCACTAGAACAAGACCTCTATCCTGGGGTCTGGGTTCATATTCCACTAATGGCCAATGGTTTTTAGCTGATAATTTCGTTGTGGTTCAGAACCCCCCTTGAGCTACAGCTTACTTACAGGTACAAGGGAAAAAGGTTTCATGAGAGAGGAGAACTCTCCCCTTATAGATCCATCACAAAAAGTCATTAAATAATTTAACTGTAAAATGTCAACATGAAAAAATTACCGTAAAATAAGTCTTATTACATCAAATAACTTGAACTTGAGATAGTAAAGAAAAAATAAGGCAATATGATACCTCGGACTTGAAGCTTCATGCCGGTGCGTAAAGGGTCTATTCCTCGTCCACAATGCTCTCCAGCTTCTTTGATGTAGATTTCATTGTTGGATAGGATAGAGCCAACAAAGCACTCATAAGAACCAAAATCTCTCCTTTGTGTGTATGTGTAGGTGACGCCGTCCTCCTCCCATTGGCCCAAACACTGATACTCTCGTTCTGCAAACACACAAACAAAGATTGGTTATGATATCAATATAAATTAAACGTTGAATATTTAGTTCCCATTTTACAACAATTTACTCCTACGCTTGAGGTTCTTTTTTGGTGATGGTGAGTTTACACTGTCTTACAGATTATTATGGACGTTTTTTGAGAAAAGTTCTTGCAATAATCTGTAATGTGAGTAATTTGTAGGTTGGAAAAGTGAAGGTATTCAACATTTCAATAATAAGGCATTTTTACTGAAATTCAAGAAACAAAGCAGCATTGTTATTGGCAGTAGAGGAAAATTGTTCAATTAAAAAATTACAAACAGTTTAAATTATTCTAATTGTTCAAATAATTATGTGTGTAGTTATTATTTTACATCATAAGTATTGATAAGTCTAAACTACCAATAACATTTTACAAGTTTAAAATAAAGATAAATTAAGACAAAAACTTAAATGTAAAGTCAGGCGTGTAAAAAAAGTGGAAACGACACACAGTGTAAATTTGCACCCAGACCTGTACTCAGTACACATTGTGCAGCACACAAATCCAGTGCGGAGTGAGAAAGCGATTGAGATGAGGTACCTTCTCTAATTGTACGTGGTCGTCCTACAGTAATAGCTCCCTGCACTGGTCTGGACATGTCCGGGGGCAGAGGGGGAAGCTGGATAGGGGGAAGGGCGATGGGGCGTCGGTAATTTGGGTTGGTATTTTGATAAGGTCGGTATGGAAAATTCACAGTCCTGTATCTTCCTTCCCAGTTCCAATTCTGCCTTGGATCTTGATAGTTGTAATCTCTTGCTCCAAAGTGATTAGGTCTGTTGGTAGTATTGAAGTAATTCCGAGGCGGAAGCTCAGGCCATTGTTGCGGTATGAGCCAAGGTCGACTGACGTATCCGTCCCTTGGCACCATCGTACTCCAGTTGTTCCTTACATTATAGAATGAACTGTTCATCTCTCTGTGGTCATAGCTTGTAGCCACAGTGCCTCTGAAGTTGTTATGATAGCCTCTGTAGGGGAATTCCGTTGGGCCTACAGTACGGTAGAAGTCCACTGGTCTGGGGTTCTGATAACTCGGTCTTACATTTGTTTGAGAAGAATAATTCCAAAGGCCAGGGGTAGGGGAAAAAGTAGTTCTGATAACATTAGGCGCCGGCCAAGAAGGGGAAGGATGGGGTGGCCAAGAGTTTGGTGGATTGAATGATCTAGATGGTCTGTAAGTGGTTGGAAAAGTAGGAGTGTTCGACAATTCAATACTCGGGCTACCTGTGCTGACTGGGCCATTTGTTGAAGAGCTGAAAACCGATATGATATCCGGCACAACTGTTTTCTCTTTCATAGAACTCTCTATTTGCTCAGAGTCTTCTATTCTTACTTCAGTACTTTCTTCAGTACTTGGTGTTGGCTGGGCCTTCACCTCTTCTGGGTTAAGCTGGGCAGGCGATGTAGGATGGACTATTTCCTCAGTTACAGTTACAGGGGTTGTGTTTGTGACACCAATAGTTGTAAGATTATTTACAGGTTCTGGAATGTCTTGATTCTCCCTCTTTTGTCGACCAGAACGGTATCTCCCTACAAGTGTAACCAAGTTAATGCTAAACAAAATGAGAACTAGTAGTAGATTACAAAGATATTACTTTTTGCGTTAGAATTTACATGGTTAATATCACTGAATAAGTAAGTATTCTGCAAGGAGGACTAAAGACACTTTTTTCAGGAGGAAAATAAGCTTTGAAATATTGTTGGGCTGTCTGTACAGTCTAAACACTGGAAACAATGTGTTTAGCATAATAAAATAAGTAGGGTAGTTTCTATGGAAGCGATCTCAACTTACCTGTAAAAGTGCTGTACAGAGCATAGAGAAAAGATTGTCAAATAGATAATATTCTAATTCTTTATATTGTTGTAGAAGAATCTATTTTTATTTTTAATAGGTGATACCTTATTTGACAAACGTTTAGGTCTTACATGAACTGTGACAAAAATAAGCTAGCTATGTGCTTACTACATAGTTAGCAATGGTAATGATTTAAAACATTCAAATGGTTAATTACACTTTAAGATAATGTTACAATAACCATAAACCTAAAAGTCAAAGAAGGGATTCTCACAACGCCATTAAAATAAATTATTTGCTTCTCCTTTTAGTAAAAGAATGCCGCTAACTGGCTTTTTGAATGGTTGAAAGCAGAACGGAAGTGGAAACTCACCTTCATAAACTTCTTGCTGTTCACAATCGGACACAGTGAAGTACATAATTTCTGGATGCAACTGATCAGACGCCATACGAGCACATAAACCACTGTCATTGGTGATAAAACCTGTGTAGTCACCAGTGACTGGGCAAGGAGAAACTTGCCTTCCTTCTAGCCCTGCAATCCAACAGATCATGTAATCACAAACTGTGGCATAGAAATACAAAAAGGCAATTGGTGGTAATATGTACAGTACATTCATGCCCATAAAAATATCAGAGCCCCGTACGAACATATCCTCTTCCTTGTGTTTTAGACTCCACAGTTTTTCTCATCCTCCTATCATATCATTCCACTCTTCTACGATCTCTTTTACATGTTGACACTCGTTATCAACTTTAGAGTAAAGAACTTGCATTAGAAAAACATAAGACTTAAAAAATTACTGAAAACATAAAATTAAAAACAATAAACTTTACTCATTCTACTTTGTGTTTTACCTGAATGGTTATGTTTTTTTGTTGTATGCACAATTATATATAACATTTCACAGTTAATTCTTCTTTAAAACTAAAATATTATATCTGTTGCAAGACACAAAATTTTTTCAAATTTGGAGGGTTTAACATCATTTGCACATCGAGCTCAAAATGCAAAACAATTTGTAAGAACCCATGAAGATCCATGTAAGAATATGTTATTAGGACTGGAATTGTTGAAATCGTTAGTTCTTGTGTCTTTTGTTTGTACATCTTTGTGCTGTTTTATGTAATGTTCTTATTAAAATTTGAAATGACTAATTGAATACAAATTTTCATACTATAGAAGAACAATGGGTTACAATTAGTAAAGGAAAGCTGTTATTAGCATATTTGATATAACAAATCAATAGCAAGATTTACTCACTTGCTTGTGTTACCCAGATGTTTCCTAGAAAGTTGGAATCACTACAGAGAGATGTGTTGAAAAATATGCTTGATGTAAGTCCTGGAAAAAGATTACTACAATAAATAAAAAGAACAGCAATTTTAACAATAAAAGTTAAAAGACACAAAAAGTGGTTAAATGTGACTAACGAGCATGTTGAAGAATAAAGCAAGGATATAGTTTGATGGTATACTGGTATATAATAAATTGTTACATTTACAGAGTTGCTTTTACTATAAAGGTTACCTTCTTAAAAAAATCAAGAAACCTACACTCTAGTTCATGTTAATGTCTATTAAAGTAAACTACTTTTATATTTACCAAGTTGGAATTCCAGAACATTTCCACTTCTAAGTTTCATTTTGATGCATTTGTACACTTCTTCGCCACTGTAAAGATACAGAACTGTTTTACAGTATACATATTATAAATATGATCATCATATTCCAGCAGCATTAAAGCATAGCATCAAATTGTGAAGTTAGTTTCATCCAAGTAATGTAGAATTAAATAACCTGCTGCCTATAAATAACAATAATTATTTTTAAGAACTGTAAAATTTGGATTCAGGGATTAGTACACTGTAAAGGGTTTGATTACATTTTGTCACATAATGATATGTTAAACACAGTGTAAAGGATAAAACCATTTGATGAGTTACTTTACAAATTTAGAGTGAGCAAAATTTGTTTTCAACCTACCTTATGTGTGCCATAAATAGCTAAAACTTATAAATTATAATTTTAATTTTTTCATCTGATTCATCTAGATTACTTTTAAGGCTTGTACTCACTAGGACACCCGGTCGCTTGTCAACCGGCGACCTGGTTGACGAGCGACTAAGTTGATGATCGTTTTATTGCCGGGGGTACACACTAGGATACCTAGCACTTTCAACCGAGCAGGAAATCAAAATTTGGTGGGGATGGACTGGGTTAGGTTCTGAAATCTGGTTCGAGCTCTAGTTGCACTGACCTAAGTGTTGTGACAACATGCCCACCTACGAAGAAGAGATTGCTGCCGCAGTTATAATTCTAATTAATTGCAGTAACCATAGAAGAAGCAAGAAATTGTTCAAAAGATTTTGGGCTAAAGGGTGGCTTCAACGCAGACACAGTTACAGCCACATGGCACTTCTACGAACTTTGCGAGATGATAATCCTCAGGATTACAAGAATTATTTGAGGATGTCAGACGACAATTTCCGTCACATTTTGCAATTGGTGACGCCTCATATTGGAAAAAAGGATACCCGATTGAGACAGGCAATTCCCGCCGAAGAAAGACTCGTAGCAACACTTCGATATCTAGCGACTGGAGCAGTCTACAATAGACTCAAACAATCGAAAAACCCCTCTAGCTTGAAAGAGACCACGTTTAGCACTAGCACTGTTTAGTTTTGACAGTTGACACAAACAGTGTACTGCGCATGCGCTAGCCGTCTTTAGTTGATCAACTTGGTCGCTGAAGCGTACACACTCTAGTTTTTTGAGAAATCTGATTGCCCGGCGATAAAATGGTTGATCGGAAACCCCCAGGTTTTCGATACATGTCCGAAAACCAAAAAGTTGCCTGGCAACCTACAAATCGCCGTCAACCAAATTGACAGACACGTACACACATGGCGATATTTGTGCAATTTGGTCGCTCGTCAACGAAATTGTTAGACACGTACACACACGGCGATATTTGTGCAATTTGGTCGCTCGTCAACCAGATCGCCGGTTGGTAAGCGACCGGGTGTCCTAGTGAGTACTAGCCTTTAGGTACACCTACAGTGTTAGCAAAACGGGAGTTTCGATGGAGACCAGGTCAAGTCCCTTCAAACGCACGCACCCCCACATCTCTCCATCGGCACTCCCGTTTTGTTAACACTATATGTATTTAGCCCCTCCTACAAATAAACATGTATTTATTGGTTAACTAACATAGTTAATTTGTTTGCAAATCTTTCACAATCTGAACTAGGCGGCCAAAATACTCAATTTGTTAACATTTTGTTATTAATTAAATTATATAGTTACAGGCACAACATTGTTCCTCTTGAAATAACAAGTTGTTCCTCTTGAGGACAAACAATTTGGCAACTGCTTAAAATTCAAACTCTTTAGGTATGTGCAGAAAAGTATTTAGACTAAATAAACAACAGTTTATTTATTAATTCAGACTTGAGTATGATAACTTACCAGCCATTTTTAGAAAAGACAACAAATCGTTCTTCATTTACTGCCTGTGCGCATCTCATAGTGTAGGCGTTATAGCTGTAATGGTCCTTGTACGTGAGAGAGTTGAAGTCTATGTTCAGATGCTCCCATTTACCTTGGCTCCAATAGGGGAAACTGAAATTTAATTACCATGTTTTACACTTATGAAGAACTGTAACTACTTAACTACGACAATATAAAGCATTGAAACACACATGTCTACTTCATTAGCTTTTCACCTGGGTTGTGACATTGCTCTGACAAGAATGAAAGACTAAAGATCTTCTTCAAGAGCTGTTTCTTCCTCTTCGGCTCTCATCTTCACTATTCAAAAAATTCATAAAATATCCCACTATCATTTTTTAAATATGACCTGGTTGACTGGTAACTCTTCCTTATTTATTTTATGTTCCTACTGCCCTGGGCTGAACCCTTTTTGGAAAATTCTTACTTTCCTACAAAACTCTTTCACATAAATTTTTTTGCAGTCTTCTTTAGCTTTCAGGAGGGTATTATAACTATACCTTATCTTTTAAGAGTAGTGGTAATATTAATAAGTAAGTCGGGAATAGAGTTACCTGCATTTACTGTTGATGACAACTGATGGCCAATGTACGCTAGGGATCGCAGTCAAATTCCATGTCATGTGGCCGTAACTAGCATTGTACAGGTCTGACGTACATGTGGAGTCACTGGAAAAAGCCATCATGATACTCCCTCTTTGTTCATCCTCTTTGTAGAGCTGAAAAAATCATAAGAAATTAATTATCTAGAAGCGTAAATATTCAAGCATATATTCTGAGATATTATTATAAAATGAGAGGGATATTGATGTAAATATGTGGATTAACTCATTTAGAATTGTTCCAAATCTTCAAGATCCCTATAGCACTAAGGGGCTTCTTATTTAGGAGTCAAAATTTCCATTTTTGATAAATACAGAGACTGCAGCATTACTATTTTGTCTTGAGAGGTGACTCAAAAGGCGGGAGAGTACATATGGTTTTTCTCGTGTCTCCTCTTCTAACACCCATTTTCCACGTCATCGTAATAGCCTGTTTTTTTCCATTTCAAGCTGGTGCACTTGACAGATAGACTTCGCTGAGTTGGTAGTCATGAACGAGCAGAGATTACAGGTTAAAATTGGGTTCAACACCTCCCAAACTCCCGGAGGGTGCAGGAGCTCAAATCAGCTTAGCCAGAAATTACCTGGCTGCCCTTTTAGCTGGTGAAAATCCCCTTATTTGTAGTAGATTAGATTGGACCATGAGAACTCTCTCCGAGGCCATTGCTCTTCATTTATGACTTGTGAAAAATTGATGCTGTGGATGCAAGGGAGCACAGACAGTTGGTCTGTTTAACTTTTGCTTTGGGAAGTTTTTTTGGGGGAAACAAAAATATTCTTGGGAGCCAATCCATACACCAAACAAGTCAAAAAGCTAAAATTGGAACTTTTTACTTTGCGTGGTGTGTTTATTGGCTTCTAAGAATGTGTGTGTGTTACCCCCAAAAATATAAGGTGCCAAAACCTACCTGAGGTTCCGAAACCCCAACCATGAAATGGAGGAATAGCCGATACTCCCTACACCTAGCCATGACAATATCAAATAGGTTGAGAATCGCCATTGAGTATCAATGGAATCGTTTTGAGAAGAGGTTTAAATTTAGATATAACACTCTGCTGGGTTGAGTCCAACAAAGGTTGGACATACAAAGAAGTTCTTCAATAGTTACGTGCTCATATAAGAAAAATAGTCTGGGTTCTTCAACTGGGCATACAGTAGACTCCCTCTTACCCGGACTCCTCGGGACCGAGGCCAGTCCGGATAACGGTTTTTCCAGTTAAACGACGTCCCCCAAAACTCGTTAAAACAGACCGCTTAGATGCATACTGTATACAGTATTTGACTTAAATTTAGGTGAGCATTGTATCTAGACTCGTGATCACTGGTCTCAAATCTTTCCCACAAGAACAGTCGTTTCAGTACCGCCCACTTCCTGCCGATCTAGTCCGGTTAAACCGATGTGCTGATAAAAGTTGTCCGGTTAAGGAGATGTCATTTTCGCCGAGTGTAGTCCGGTTAAAAGGTGTCCGGATAAGAGGGAGTCTACTGTACATAATAAGTAGTGGGAAAGCACACAATATTTTTGATTTGCCATGGAGCAAGGCTCTCATATTCTTCTCCTTAGCGGACAACAGTAGAAGTAACTCTTTGCAGTGGCTTTTAGATCCATCTAGCACTGTTCCCTTGGAGATAAGGGTTTGGTTTTTGGGTAAGGCTTTGGTGAGTCCCACAATCCTTAAGAAGATTCCTATCTCCTTACAAAAAATATTAGTACCACTAAAATCAATTATTCAAATTTGGAAGTACTCACAGCACATCTATACAGAGGCCTCTCGCCAGTTGCAGGTACATTAGTCTCCTGAAGAGCAAGGAACCTTTGGCCATTCGGTCCCGGCCAATCACCCAGACAGTCAAAGGTCATTTCTGTAACAGACAAATTTCATGAATTAAATAAATTATCTTACATTATAATAAAAGTCATACAAAGTTGTAAAAGTTTCTTAAAGAAATTCACTATCTGCATTCAGCAGATGTTGATGAGCTATAAAAACTTGTATGTAAATAATTGTCTAAAATTTAAAGGCCACTTTTTTGTCAGCTAGTCTTCCAACCAGGGATGCCTTTGGCTGTTTCCAGTCATTGTTTGAACAACATTAGGCAGAAATAATCTTAGGTAGGAAAAATAAAATAAAACCTGAATAATAAAATAAGTGTATAATCAAAGGATTTTCAGATTTTGAAGAACTAAAATGCATTTAAGGACTGACAAGAAATAGATTTGGGGGTGCAGAACAGAGTCAACAAACTTATGGGCTACATTTGGCTGCTGTTTCCATTACAACTGCTGGAATATTCTTATGGAATATTCAGCGGCCTTTAATGCAGGTGTTATCCATTAAGTTGATATAAGATAATAAGACATAAGTAGCTTAGCACCAAGTATGTTTTATCAGGGATGAAAAACATATCTTTCTCATATTTATAGTATTGTTTTTCTGGCTGAATTGGTTCTGTTATTTCAAACACGATTTTTATCTTAATTAATACAGAGGTCGACGAAGGTTGAATTCCAATATTGGATGAAGAGCCTAGGGAATCTAGTCAGCAACTTTTAGATAAGATGGTGGCTGACCAAAAACATATCCAGTATGTACAGCAATTAAAAGAGATTTTCAACAAAAAATATGAATGCAGTTTGGATGTTCACCCCTACCATTGTACTGATGAGCGCACCCCTGGAAATGCACCTCCAAACCAGGTCCTCCAGTGCGGTCAGGACAGTTTTCCAGCTGAGACACAGAAGGACTACATTCCACTCGGTTATCTGTCTGGTTGTACAAATTGTATGTAAACTTGTACCTTCCTGCTATCGGACAAAACATCTTCCTGATGCTTCCTCCTCCAATCTCTCTTGTGCCTGAAACAAATTTTACCTGGTATAAATTCAAGGTACCAGCTCTTAGATAAATTAAAGTAACAGAACATATTAAACAAATATTTTTGTTTTTTAAAAGTTCTTCATTAGTGTCATATTTTCCCAAGATAAAATTTTGAATTATTAAATATAAGCCAATTGGCCAAAAGAAGATGGAGGGTCCACTGGAGCTTATTGTATATAGGAACATTGATGTAAACAATCAGTATATGACTGTAGTATGATCTAAAGATTTTTATGTTTGCTCAATATTAAGACGGGTTTTCCAAGGTACCAAATTTGGCTGCCAAATACAGCTGTGAATTTCTGAATATGTCACGCACGTTTTTAGAGCCTGTGTTTTTCAGGGTGCAGCTCCTGCCTGATTCCGCAACTAGGAAAACAGCTGTACATGACCCTTTTATAAAGAGTCAGTGACAAAAAACACAGCAGCTGTATTTTGGCAGCTAGGAAAATCCGCCTTTACTGTAACACAGTAATGTAATACAATAAAATGGCTGGAAAAGTTAGGGTTAATATGGGTTCATTTTAGTACTTCACTTTTGTATTATGAGAGAATGCTGTAAGCTTACCCAGGGAGGAGTTTCTAATCACTGTTAAACATAGGGTTTCCAACATTTCCCAGGGTTTACAAGTTGGATACTTTGAAACTATACCTTATTTGTAACAACTCTAAACCAACTCTATTATATTACATGTGTAAAAGGCTAATGTATATTGTCTTTAGTCTTTTGAGGAGTCAGTGGATTACTATTTTGAGGTCAAATGACCGAATATCGAATCCCATAGAGAATCAGGTTTATTTGACTTTAAACTATGGGCATTTATGACCTAAGTTAATTGCCTATAAAAGTTATATTTTCATTAATACGTGTATATTCAAACTGATTGTAAGTAAAATAGCAGTTTTTTTTTTAAGTAAAATAGCTGGTAATCAGAATAAAAAGAACAAATGAAAAAATAATTAAATTATCAATGTTTTTTATAAAAAAAAATTTTATGTTTTTTTGCTGCAAAAATGGTTAAAATTACTAAAGATTTGGTTATGACTAAACTGGTGCTGTAAAACTATTACCCTCTCTTCTGTCCTCAATATAACAAAGAAACCTGCTGGGGGGAGAGTGTGATAGGACTGCAAGAGTTGAAACTTGCCGTATTATAATTTTAAAAAAACCCAAAAATGGCAAGTAATAATAAGAACCAGCATGATTTTTGTTCCTCAGTTAATGTTTGACTTACGGAAGAGATTGATCTCCTTGTGTCTGCCGCTGGCCAAGTCATCTCCCTTGGGACATGTGTTGCGTGCAGCCTCTTCCGTCAGATAACACTGATCTAGACATGTAGGGCACGTGTGAACTTGCAGCACATTGGGCGAGTGCAGCTTCAGATGAAAACATCTTATACAAGCAGTTCCATTAAAGCTGCAACATACAGACATTCCAGTCAATAACAATAGAAACAGGAGGGTTTATATTAGATTGTTGCTCTAAAAGTTGCTGCATAAAATAATGATATGTTTGCTAGTCGACGTGGGCCACGGTTTGAGGAGAACCAAAGTCAAAACTGTTATTCTATCTCCAAAAAATGGCTATGTCAAATGTTTCCTCCTCGGAAAAGCATTAATCCAGCAAAGGACATTAAACTTTCTGATTTTACCATCTACTTACATTCTTGAGTCTTTTAAGCCTTGTCCACAAACAAACTCTCATTTGTTTGCGCAAACCTGATGTGTGTTAATAGATGTGTGCAACCCGAAATCATCCACATGCTCAGTTCTAGCCTTGCATATTGAGACTTACATCTATAAATTATCAGTTTGTCTTAATCCGAATCAAATCAAAATCCCAAAGTTAGGTTTGTAAACATTGTTGTCTTCGGCACCTGAACCCATTGACGTTTTCACTTTAAACAGTTCTTTCCGACAAACAGTAGGCCTACTGATTGAATGTATTTTTTTGAAACTGTCTTTTCTAGCTTCCTCATCATTGGATTTATATAGTAACATGTCATAAGCAAGATTCTTTATCATGGTCACTGCATTCTTTGGATTTTACTACAAACACAGAACACTTTTATGAAGTTCAATTTACTCATAGAAATTCTTTCTGTCGTACATCGGTTATTTGAACAGCAGATACACACACTGAAGAGTGAAGAAATTACAGACTGGCTGAGTAAGATGTCCCAAAATGTGTACATATAGGTGCGCACATATCGAAAGAGTGTCCATATGCTCCAACCACAGACACGAGATGTGCGGTCCTTGCCGACATTGGACGTCTTTTGATCAAACCTCACATGGCGTTGTAGAAATGTACATGCACATTTCAATTTTGTTCAAATCTGTGGTCCATGCGCTCACATTTAAACTGTGCACATCAGGTGTGTTCCAAATGTTCAGAACTAAAATTAAATGGCAATTTAATTTGCAACATTTTTAAATTGTAGAAAGGGAAATTTTATTAAACTGAGTAGAATATCCTTTAACAATGTTTGGTTGACGTAACACGATTTGTGACGTTTCACAGGGTGAAAAACCCTCAAAAGCTCAGGTACTCTTTTCTGTGTTGGATTTAAAATTGAATGGTTAATGCAAAAACTGAATTGTTAATCCGACTGATTCAACTATTTTATCATTGAGAATGTAAATCTATAGGTGAGCTGGTAAAGCACCACGATGGATGGACTTATTAATGATAGTGAAAGAACTAGGATATTAATCGTCAATGTCGCTGCCGTTGTCATGATTATCATCACACAGTAAACTACCGAATCCCTTCTACAGTAGTATATTACATTACTAGTCCTGAAAATAGTCGTTCCCGTGTGAGACAAAGTCGAGATTGGGATTACCATACGAGTACGGTAAACACATTTTGGACGAGTGGCGTACAATATTTTACGCTGTAATACTACTCTAGGAAAACTTAACAATAAAAAATCCTTATATACCCACCAACTAAAGGACTAAAAATCACTACTCATAACCAACCTCTAAGAGAGGTCATGTTAATTTTATTACCACTCATTGCCAAATATAAGCTGGTTGGTGTCCGGTAAAAACTCATTACAGTACAGTAGTATGTAATGAAACCCCATTTGATTAAGCTGGCGGCAAACAGCTGTTTTCTGGACTAAATCCTTGCGTGGGAAGTTCGTTAAAACATTGTAGTGTGGCGTAAATGTTATTACAGCAAAGAGTGCTAAAACCAATTAAACATTAACTAGATCAACAGATTGAACATGGTTTTACTTTAAATTTAACACTTTTGGTCTGTTTGGCCAAATTGATGTGTTTCTTAACATACAACCTTGATCTCATTTTTCAATCGTAAGTTCTAGATTTAAATGGGAACTATTAGAAAATGTTCTCTGTTTAAATGGCTTATCTGTGGCTATTCTCAACATGAGTTAAATAGTGAAGGCTATAACAGGCAATTGAACCTCATTATCTTTATTATATGATTCTATTATACACTCTTTCACTCTTTCACAGTTAGTTATGAGATTGAAATTTCCCCAAACTTCAATTTTAAGAGGTTTTTGTAGCATATTATTGATTCTATTTTTAATTATTCTAATCATGTCCATTTATTGGTTTAGGAATCAAACTTTGTATCATCAAATAAAAAAATTAACTATGCTCTGATATTTTAAGTGCAATACATTCATGAAGAACTATAAAGGAGGCGAGAAGAGATGATCCAACAGACTGGATGATGTCACAGGATATGCTAATTAGGCCAAGGTCTCAGAGAACAATTTTGGCTGAAGAATTGACAGAATATAGGTACCAGTAACTCACAACAAGCCAAAGATGGGAGGGCTTACACTATTCTTATGTAATACCATACCTTTGGAATTCATTAAGGGAAGATTGGATATTAAAATATTAGTTACAGTAAAAAATCTATTAACTCCCCACCAACTGCATACGATATAACAAAACAATTCTCATCTAAGTTGTTATTTCTTAGGTTTGTGCAATCACCCCAAAATATCTTGCCTGAAAGTAAAAACTCGCTGTGTGAATGAAAGGTGTGTCGAGATAACCCTTACCTTAGAGGTACTGTTTTTTACCTGATGCCGAGTACGAAGTTCCAACTACACCGTATTGTTTGATTAAAGCAATTTCAGGAAAAAACTAGAATTTACATCTTAATGTTGTTTTAAAATTTTCAGAATTGTCGCGGTTATTGCTATTTATTTTAATGAATACTACAAGAGTAGTCAGTTTATCAATATGTTACAGTAATTATTTTATTTATAGGCCTAAATACTTTACATCGCAACAGTAGATGTTACTGTAGCTTTTATTTATTTATTTATTCTCTCAACGGTAACACCATTTTTACATTGGAATATACATCAAATAGGATTAAATCACTTTATAAACATAGCATAATTATTTAATAAATATGAGCAATAATAAGAATAAATTAGAAAGCAGCTTTTGTTATGGACAGAGTATGAGCTGTATACTTGAATGGGTTAGACTTCAAATCTAATAAAGTTATATTTTTTTTAGTCCAAAAATTTAATTTATATCAATCTCCATATGAATGAAACAGTTAAATTCACATTGTGGTAGGTGTAGTTATTTGTAGTTTAGGATCCACCAGATCTGACTACAGCTGACTGATTGATTAATAATGAGCAAATAATGAATCCGAGACGTGGTTTGGCTCTGAAAGCCAGTGTACTGTACATCATTATAAGCTCATTTTGCCACATTGTTTTTATGAAGAGGCGAGATTCGCCTGGGAATGCTTGGCGACATAAATGAAATGACTACATTGAAAACCAGGACCGAAATTGAGCTGAACCAGTGCAAATATTTGACCCTGAGGATAATGTTATAAATATGCTGCACTTAGTATGTTTTGAGAGGTGTCACTATACAGTATCCATCGCAAATCTATACTGCAGTTGTCACACTATAGTCATGATGTTGATGTATCTGGTAGTCAACAAAATAATCTTGTATTGGTCACAATCATTTTGTCCCATTGTATCAAGCACATATATTTAATTAGATCTATTAATTAGAAATTAACAAAAATTAATATATTCAAATAATCTTCAACTAAGTATAGAAAGAAAATAAAATTGTTTATTTTACTATCTCCCCCCCATACACAAGTATTTGGAGAAAATATTGTTTTTTGTAAAGATTTTCGAGTTTTGGGTGAATATATCGAATATCGCTTTGAGCCCTCCGCCTGAACCCAAAAAATTGGTTTTTGACTTGATGTCTGTGTGTGTTGATGTGTACATAGACTACACACGTGATCTGATTTTGATGAAATTTGGTATGTGGTCACTAATCAATCCATGGTTTTCCTATGGTTTCCCATTTTTTAATTTATTAGTGATTATTTTCCCATAAACGCCATAAAGTAGAGAAAACTGATTTTGACAAAAACGGCTGGAACGATTTGTATTAGAATTTAGTAAATTATGTTACTTTCGAATATAAAAAAAAATGTACAACCTCTAATCCTGTAAAAATAACGTTTCAATGTTATTGCAATTTTTCGTGATTACATGAATTTTTAACTGATGGTTTTTTGGCCTCTGGAGTCATCAAAACGAAAAAGCATATCGGTCCCGGTTCCAGGTCTTAGGCCTACGAGAACGAGACCTACGGTAATAGCTTATTCCCCTTATGGGAAATTCACTAATATGCTTTGTTCATAAAATCGGTTGAATTACTTTACCATGCATTACAAAGGGTTGTGTTTTTTTTTATTCACCAAGAATTGTAATCTTGTTTAATTTGTTACGAACTTAAATAGAGACAAACACAAGGCATAAAATACTTCTAAGTCTTCTCCTCATATGAGTTTCGAGTTTTAACATTTGATTCAATAATTGTACAACTTTGTTTTCGTGATTTCTGTTATGGCGTCTACTTAAATGCCCTTCAGGTCTACTGAGACTCCCCCTCTTTGTCTTGTCGCTGAAACCGGGGAGGGCGGAATTATAAACAATGCCCTTTGTGCAGTATAACAATGAAATATTGTAGGTCAGCTTGTGCCTTTCTCAACCGTTGTGTTTACTGAAATTGCGAATAGCTACGTATCTCGGCCAGTTAAGTGGAACTGTTGTCAAACCCAAAATATATGCGAAAGGAATTGTTAACCAGTACAAAAAACTGTTTTATAGAGTAAATTTATCAAATAATCTATGATAAAACACCAACTTTATGTACAATAGTTTACAATTTAGCTATGTTTCTTTTGAAATCTAGGACCTTTAACTGTTTTAGGTTTAAGGGGAGATCGTAAACTTTGGGACCAAAGTTAGAAAATCAATTTTCGAAAGTGGAGCAAGACGTGCCGGGTCTCGTGTTACCTCCCCACGAACCACAAACCTTATCACCACAGATTATAGAGAGTAAAAGTTTATTCTATAGTAAACCAAGTACTCTCCTATCACCAAGTACGGGGCCTCTTGCTGAACCAAGACCCGGTGAATTTACCAGTGCACCCTGCACACGGAATCCATTGGATCCCCCGCTTCCCGCAGCATCAGCCATTAAGTGTGGATACCCGTAAACGAAACGCGCAGTTAAGTTCTGATCTTAATGCAAGCGGAACATACATTCCCATTAATAGTGTATTAAGTTACTAGTCCGGAAAATAGGTGTATAACAGACGAGTATGGGAAACACATTTTGTACGAGTGACAAAGGGCCTACGATATTTGTGTTGCCATACTACTCTAAACTAACCTAACAAGAAAATACTGTACAACTACGTTATAAGGATGTCCCGTAAGTAAACATCCAAACTCCAAGAAATGGTTATATGGGTCAAAACAAAGAAAAAAACAACAATAACATTTTTTTTTCAAAATAATTTCGTTAACCAGATATTCGCCATTTTTCACATCAACATTTTGATCATTGGATTGATCATACTGATTTTTATGAAACTTTGTATGCATGTTGGTCATGGTGAGCGAAGAATTGTATTTGAATTTATTTGTACTAATAGAAACGATAAAATGTTTGACTATTGAATTAAATTAACCGTAGTAATTTCAATGTTTCAAAACTTGATGTATTATAGCCACTTCATACGACGTCACGTACAATTCTACGATCTGAAACGTCTAAAAGCCATTTTACGTGGAGCCAGGGAGCCTTATTAGATCAGGCAGCGTCTTTCTACTGGACATCATGACTCCTGATGCTGATGTCGGAATCACGACATTCCCTTGGAGGTCTAAAATCGTGTTATTATTTTGTGGAGCCGACGTAATTCTTTATCCCAACGATTTGAGTTTCCGGCATGCGGCAATCACCAAGTCGCCACCTCCAAATTACCTGGTTCCGGCGGCTCCTGTCCCCCCTGTCCCCTGGCTGTTCGACGTCCAACTAAGTTGCCATTGTCGGAGATGAATCTGTTTCAAAATGAATTAACCGTAGTATAATGTTTTCAGCTACTACTTTACCACTTTCTGTCTTTTACCATCAAGGAAATTATTTTGTGAACAACGTTTTAACAGCAACGTACGTAATTTATCGTTTTAAAAGTAAAAGAAAAGAGTATTGGCGAAATACCCCCGCCGCAGCAAACCTGCAGACTAAGCGAATTTCCATTTGCCTGATTAGATTTACACTAACATTTCTACTTAAAAATATAACATTTATTTCCTATTTAAATAGAATTAGTTTAACAAGTACTTAGGTTTGCTGCATCAGGGAGGGTAAAACAGTTTTTTTTTTTTTGTGAAATGTTAATAGTTAGTAACAAATGAAAACATTTTCCACATTTGATCAACATATGTTCATAAACAAGCAAACTACAACAGTTTACTTGTTCTCCATAAGAATAACATGGCAATTTTAAATTTAAATTTTTTTTATTTTCTCCGTAACCATTAGGCGCATAATAACGCTTCAATATACTAAATTATTTGTTTTTTAAGCTCTGCAAAATGGTTTGGAAAGAAATTGCAAAATTTTATGTTTTTTGGGTAAAAAATGGGAAAACCCTATTTTTACCCCCCTAACACCCCCCGTTCCCATAGTCCGATCATGCTGGTTCGCGAACTCGTTCAAATAAATGTAGGTTTACACGTTTATACCAAATTTCATCAAAATCGGGTAATTTATGCTCGAGTTATCGTGCTAACGGACACATATATATATAAATATATATACATATATATATATATATGAATTTGAACGGATGGTGTTTTTGGCCTCTAGGGACCTCAACACGAAACAAAAATCGGTCCCGAGTCCAGGTCTTACCATGAGTACTACGGTAATAGCCCTATATGGGAAATTCGCTAAAATGTATAATGTAAAAAGTAATAATGTAATGAATATACATTCCGTATATTCAATGGAAATTGTTGAACTTGGTGTTGTCACGTTGCTTCAGGCTGAGGCGTTGTAGGCTGTTATCAGGGAACGCAAAAAACGACGATTTTCACCATAAGGAGGGAGAAAGAAATATTCTACGCCTTGGCCAGTTGAAAGTTGAAGCCCAAATCGACTGACTCATTTTGCAACAGTATGGTGGATGGTGCGATACACTTAATACATTTATAAAAACGATAAAAATGAATCAATCAATTAAATACGTTAGAACGATATGTACGGACCAATGCAGTCCTACGAGTAAAGTAGGCGACAGGATCCAAGCTGGTAGGTTGAGATAAGATAAAAGCTATTTGAGATGATGATTAAACGGATGTTGTTGGGGTGGTAAGACGATGGGACAACCGACACGGCGCGGCGGCACGTCGGTCTAGAAACATAAGTCACCGTCTCGAGTTACACGACAAAAAACGGCGCATAGCATAGAACAACTGGGCACATGGTGGTGACCGGCTCATTGTGTGACACCTACACTACTGTATGTTCCTATTTATGTTGGCTCTACTCCTATCAATGGAAACCAACCATAGTGTAACACCTGCACTACTGTCTACTTCTGTTTTCGATATTATATTGTCCCACCGTCCTCTATCTCGTAGGTTAACTTTTATGAAGGTATTGTTTGTCTCCCTCTCTGGAGGTTGTCATATATTGCAATATTGTAAGCATCTCGAACAGGTTTCGATAAAATGTTCTTAAACATTTCAGCTCTGTAACTACATTTATTAGTGGAAGATGGGTAATTAGCTATCCCCGAGTTCCGTTAATAATTAACCAGAGTATAGTGAAATTGGTACTGTTGCTTAGTCACACTGGTTGGCTTCCCTGCTAAGATTCGTAGAATCAATAAAACCTTATTCACGACTTTAAGCTTACCATAAATTTAATTGTTTTGTTTTGAAGTGATACTGAACATTATGCTACAAAGTACTAGTTTTGTCAACTGACCAAACGAGTACACGTACCGCGCTCCTTTTAAATCCAGCGAAACACTAATATGACGAAATTGTAAAAATCTAATGAAACCTGAAACAAAGATTTTGAAGAGTTAGGTCTTCCCCAATCATACTGTAATTGGCAAATTTGGTGACAAATATAGGAGTCACTATGTGTAACGAACTCTGTAATTCCGACACTCCGTCTCAACCTTATCCTAAAACATTAAGGTGCAATTTTGTGTATTGGGGTGGCACACGCGCACGAGCCCACAAGCTACCTGTGTCAGTAATTTTCTACCCTCGGCGCTCGCTGCTGTTGGTAGTTGGTGACTCATCAAGGAAACAGCAGCGAGCGCCTATGGAGGGACTGACCCAGGTAGCTTGTGGGTCCGTGCGCCACCCTACGGTACACACACTAAAGAAGTAATTTCTTCAAAGAAAAGTCTTTCCATTTCTACGACAACCTATGACAGCGAGTGATGACGTAATCTACCTGTCGTTGAGGATGACGTTGTCGCCCTCGCGTTGGTGACAGAGGCCCCACATAGGGATCGCCTCCGCGGTGATCTTGACTACGGAGTACTGGATCTGGGTCTGCGCCCCGGAGGTGATGGTGATGGTCTGCATCAAGTACTCGCCCTGGAGCTCTGCTGAGAAGTAGCAGGATCCTGCACCTGTAACAAAAGCATAGTGTCATTAATAGTACATCAATGTTGTCTGTTTAGCGATCATTGTTGGAACTGTTTGTTGTAAGTGAGCCCCCCCCCCCCTATATGAGTGGCTCTGTAGGAGGGTTGACTACGCGACCACAATCTATGCCGCAACTAAGTAAACTAGAAAATATAGCATTTTTTTGGTTTCTCGACACAAAGCTAAAATCAGCACCTTCGAAGAAGTAAAATGTCTTCGTGTTTTAAATTCTCATTACATTTATATGATTTATTCATTGCTTATTCATGTTCTTCTACTGAGATCCAGACATTTTCCCCTTATATCTCAATAATAACCACTTGTTCTGGAATTTAGTATATTTTGGAACATAAAAGAAAGGCGATAAATGTGTAATATAGTTGTTTTGAAAAAATTAAGCTAGTTGTGTTGCAACTGCTTGACGGATACTACATTGCTGGGATGACCATCAAAGGCTGTCTGACAACCACCTGACTCTACATAATAGCCTATATGTTATAGGACAGATTGTCATTTGACACAGATCATCTCACGGATTTACCACGGGGTTGTTGAATTGAGTACATATTGTTGCTTCTTTGTAGCTGGGTTGTTATTCTATTGTGACTTTAAGTTACCATGCATTAATTGCGCCAAGCTCAAGCCAGGTAGGGGTAAGTTGCCGGCAGAAGGAATGTCCTTGTTTACGTGTCATCCTGACCTAACCTACTGAATTATACAGTCAAAGAGGGTCGCTACTTGGCTTAGTTAAGGGACGTATCTGGTGGCTCCCAGTAGTTGGCGCAATTCAGGAATACTCGACTACCTGACTCAGGTCAGTTGGCACAATTAATGCCCGCCTGGAAATAACATCGAAACAGTGAACAATTGCTGCTACCGACTATATCTCACGTGTGAAATCACAGTAGCCTACATGTCTCAAGTGAAGAAGGCTAGTCTATGATGAATCGTGCTTAGAGGAGGTTGAGGCTGGCGACGACTCTTCATTCTCAGGGAATGTTGCAACAAGGCCAGCCTGCAACCCGGTTTGTTAAACAAATATGAGAACGGAAGAGTATCAGAAGACGACGCCGCCCACAGGAAACCGTTAGAGTAATTGGTGTTTCATAACTCTAGTGATCTACTTGGCCATGGTGTGTGTCGGTAGCTGAACATGGAGAGAGGAAGTAAAAGGTGAAAATATTTGTGGATAAAAAAATACGTTTAGACGCGAAAACTGGAAATACATGGATCGAGATTTTAAATATTCCATCGATTTAAATCACCCGAAACGTGACTAGGATAAAACAATCATAGAACTAAGTAGAACCTTGATCGAATATGACTCGAGGTTGTTATAAATGTTGACTCCTTATCGAGATTTGCAAAAATAAGTAATATAAAACAAAGTTTATTTGAAAATGACATTTGTTATCAAGGGATTTGTTATCGAAGGTCTTCTTTATCGACGTGTCACTGTACTTGCAAAGAGAGACAAGTTTGGTATTAAAATACCTACAAGGTTTAAGTGGCAGGGAGTCGAAGTTTAAACTGCAAAGTCTTCGATGGAAAATACCTAGATACAAGTTTGATATTGTTAAGTTGGTAACACTTGCGATATTATGTGTCCCGGAGACTAAAAAGGCCAGTTTAGGATTGCAAAGCGCGCGAGTTGATTTATCAAAGAAGGCATTCAGCAATGCGAACGTTAGTCTCCAGTCTCCATATATATTGTAAACAGTCCATGAACCAAAGCATAATTATACAAATAACATGTAATACATTTTGTAAAATATTGGTTTAGTAAATAATGAGTGAATGTTTTAAGCGCCCTCTTAAACTTGTATTATCTTATAAAAGACGTAGTTTGGTTGTAGTCACTGGGAAGTAAAAAGTAACGAGACTATAAGGACATCGTATCGTAACTTTGACTTTAATCAACGTTCTGTAGCTTAGTACAGTTACAAATAATATAAATCTCAATGTACTGTTTATATTAAACTACTAATTGCAAAAACTATGAAAGCGTTAACATTATCATTCAAGTCTACTCTGTCTTTTTTACAGCATATGTATTTTTTTACTTATACGTGTTTTAAGCAGTTTTAATTGGATTGATTTCTAGGGACTCAAAAAGGAAACAACCGCTTCCATGCTTCTTAAGTATTAAGAAGTAATTGAAGTTATCTTTAAAAAATGTTTTAATTTTGTTGTTCCCATTTCACAGCATCACTGTGGTGAAGGGGTTTTCTCTTTTAAGAAAGAGCAGTAGAGCTTCAAGATTAAACAAAGCATCTATATTAAATAAATTATACTCATTGATACGTTTAGATAACGTGTCATTGCATAAAAGCGAAATTCCCTATATGGGCACTGAGTGGTGCACGGTGGTGGCCACTTAATAACTATGGGATGGCCAATAAAAACAGTGTTACAAGATTTGCACTAATATTGAGATATCATCACACGGCCTATTAGGGAGCGAGCTAGAGTAGTGGTTAGAGTGCGGGACTTCGGTCCCTGAGGTCCCGGGTTCAAATCCCGCCAAATCACCAATGGATTTTATCTAAGTGATAATGCCGCAACCCCTACTCTAGCCTGAAGTAATGTGAAAAACAATCCCAGGCTCGTTCCTAGCATCCTAGAAAAAAAAAACTGTGTGGTGCAGAATGATTTCTGAATGTTTATGTAACACATGAATCAGATTAAGCACAGAGTATGATGCATATAATCTCAAAAACATTTCTGCATCATACTGTGTGCTTCATCAGATTCGAGAACCACATAAAACTTTTGAGAAGTGTGTAATAAGAAACTGCATAGATAAGGAAGGTCACAGAGAACTATTTGATACAAAACTGCATAGATAAGGAAGGTAGCAGATAACTATTTGATACAAAACTGCATAGGTAAGGGAGATAGCAGAGAACTATTTGATACAAAACTGCATAGGTAAGGGTGATAGCAGAGAACTATTTGATACAAAACTGTATAGATAAGGGAGATAGCAGTGAACTATTTGATACAAAACTGCATAGATAAGGGAGATAGCAGTGAACTATTTGATACAAAACTGTATAGGTAAGGGAGATAGCAGAGAACTATTTGATACAAAACTGTATAGGTAAGGGTGATAGCAGAAAACTATTTGATAGAAAACTGCAATAGTATAAGGAAGGTAGAGTAACTATCGAAGATACTTTGTGCTGTAGATACATGAGACGTTGAGTAGGAGATGGGGAGATGGTCGACGCAGTCACTGGTGCGTGTGAGGCTGTGGTCAGTCTGTGGTTACTGGCTAGGGCATTACTCCTCGCTCTTAACATGCAAGTAAGATCAAATGAATAAACAATAACATGAATTATGAATTGATCCTTGGGAATAATCATTGGTCCTGGCTATAAGATCGACCACTGCACTGTTCGGCAGCAACCAGTACTGTTTAGTAGTAACAGTCACTCTTAATTCATGAACATCACGCAACTAGACGTACGAAGACATAGTACTTCAATGACTGTTCCTTTTAACCTTTAAACGTGCAAAAAGGCAGGCAAACTCGAACTTTCAGACGTGCTTTAACGGTTTGGCAATTTAAATGAAAAGTCGCACAGATTTATTAATACGTACAATTTAAACTTGCAAGGTGCAATTTCCGTTGGATTCGGTAGAGGTTTTATTATACTGTACCGATATAAAAGATGTTAGGTGTATTACATCACTCTATAGTTATGGATCTGCATCCATCATTGGGGATTATTATTATTTACTATGAGTTTCATCAAATGACCCTATCTATTTATTCTTCTGGTGAGATGAAATTCACGAGTAAGCTTAAAGTTAGTTAAGAGACGGACACATTTTGAAGATACCTGGTAAAGTTCTGGGTTGAGCGGAAGTCTATCTCAAAGTTGTTCATAGCCAAAGATACACACAATGATTACCAATTTTGTAAATTGAATTGCCAATTATTGAATCCACAATAAAACTACGTTGCGGCCGTGGTGCGAGTAAATTAATTAGTTAGTAAACCACAATTTGCGGTTCGGTTGCTAGTTGTTAGGTATATTGGTGGATCTATGAATTAATAGAATCTGTGGTGTCGGTAAGGAGGGATATTGTTTTGCTTGGACTCAGCAATATTTTACGATTTTTATTCAAGGAGATAAAAATAATCCTCACATTTAAAATATGTTTTATCCTCCGTAAAGCTAGTCTTCTCAACTCAACAATGAATACTGTTTCACTTATTGGAAGGTAATTGTTCATACTGTATAATTTGTAGAAGAACGACTTGGTTTGAGGTTTGTCTGTGCTTCAGCGTTTTAGGCGTAGAGTCGACGGGAAAGAATTATCTTACAAAAATGCACACTTTAATTGTTATGCAATTTTGAAATTGGTAGAAATTAATTTGCGAAATAGTATGTTAAAAATTCTTGTACCTGGTTTAAAACTTATTAATTGTAAGAACTATTCCCAGCATAGAACAACTGAGACATAATACGAGTATAGATGATGAATATTTGGCTTTGATACAGGAGGCGAAGTTTTCAAGGAAATGAGAAATGTCCCGTCTGTTAACATAATAAGATAAATGACCTACAGTAAACATAATATTATTTAATTTGTAAGTGGCATAAATAAATATTACGATTTTGTGGAAGTGCCGCATTTTTCTTTAGAAGTATTTTTAAATACTTAAAGAATATTTGTAAGAAAAAAATGAATACGAAAAGATCGTGAGTCTGTGAAAATTAGTATTAGTGTCTATTTTTAGTCATTAATTAGTCATTAGAATGACTAAAATATTATACAGTTAAGGAGACGTTTAAATATTTCTTTTCTTTTTAATTCCCGTAAAACAAGACCATTTATTAGTCACTAGTAGATAAATTAGGTATATTCCACTAACTAGTGGCTACTAGTGGCTAAATCTGAATATCCTACTAATTGCTATGTTATGTAAAAGTTACTATAGAGGTGAAAACCTGTATATTTTACTGGTTGC